TGAAGATCAAATGAGAGGGAAAGCAGAAAGATCGAGAAAGAATGTTGTGCCCCGGCCGGGTAAGGAAGAAGAAACTATAGAAGAAGAGAGCAAAATTAGTGCAGGGAAGAAGAGGAGAACGAAAGAGAAGAAGTCGAAGGAGGAAACCTTCGAATTCGAGTTCGAACCCTGCTTACAGAGGAAGGGAGATCGGCTTCGTACGCTGCTACCGTGCTTGCGTGCAGTAAAATGTTAATATAGTTCGAGCGCTATTCCTGCTTTAGTTAGTTCTAAGTATCGGGTCGAGTCGTGACAAGACACCTGAGCAAGACTTGTCCAAAGCCACTCTAGGAGAGAGACGAGTGAAATTAGAAAGTTTAGAGGTCGTGGTCGTAATCGTGGGGGCCAATGGGTTGAAGTGGGGGCCACCAGAAAAATCTAATAGTGGCAGAGAACGAGGAAGAGGCAATGGAGGTCTTTACAAATGAGGGTCACGAGCTCCTAGAGATGTTGCATAGAAAGCAGAGAGCGACAAGTGATTTGACTAAGGATGCATCCACCTTATCGTCATTCATAGGGAACACTGATATTTGTGCTCACTTTGCTAAGGTATTCATGATATACATGCTCTTGTCTCTATATTCATCACATGATCACCATAATATATGGTAGATTTTGATGTATATTGATATGTGATAGGTGCTACTAGTGAGTTCTCTTTATATACTTATCTAGCAATTTCAAAGAGCATTCAGATCGTTGATGGTACAACACAGCCTGTCGTTGATGGTACAACATAGCCTATAGTTGGTAATGGTACAGTGATGTGTACCAATTCCACGACTATGTCCAATGTATTGCATGCTTCTTCCTTTCTATTAAATATTTATTCATTGATGTCATTATACTCCACTAAAATGTGTTGTTTTATTTGATATTCCTAAGTTGATCTTTCAAGAAAAGGGAACTGACTGAACGGAGATTTGGGACTGACAAGTGGCATATTGGACTTTGGTAATTGGTTAGAGGGGATGGACTCAGCCTTGACATCCATGAAATATAGTGGTTGAGTGGGAGGATCTGGAAACAGTGTGGAGGATGTGTTGCTGCTATATCACAAGTGCGTGAGACACTCTTCGTTTAGTCTATTGATTCGTTTGTATCTGTCTTTGTATGAAGATGCAAATAGATAAAAACTTGTGTAATGCTTGTGAGTTTTGTAAGCGCACCAGGAGCTCTTCTGTTAGTTATGGTAACAGAAGTTGTGTTTTTGATTTGGTGCACTTAGATGTATGGTGATTTTGTTCTATAACTTTAATGAATGACTACAGATATTTTGTGACTTTCATTGATTTTTTCTCGTGTTACTCGATTATGTGTGATGAGAAACAAAAATTATGTGTCTGCTTTAAAGACTTTCACTGGGCAATTCAGAATCAATACGATTCAGTATTGAAAGTATTGAGGACTGATAATGAGTCATAGCATACCAACAAGATGTTTGGGGAGTACTTGCCAGCTTAAGGGATACAACATCAAATCACTTGTCTATACATACCGACACAAAACGGAGCAACACAAAGGAAGAACAGACATTCTAGAGGTAACTAAAAGCATGATTATCTCGATGAATGTCCCAAAGCACTTATAGGGGCAAACTATTTTGGCAGCCGCTCAGTTGATCAATAAAATGTCCTCAAGTGTTGGACCGGCGATCTTCTTGTGAATTATTGAAAGGAGATAATGGCGAGATCCTCTCATTGAAGGTATTTGGTTGTGTATATTTTGTGAAAGATAATAGACTATCAATAGGGAAGCTGGATCCCAGAGCTATAAAGTGTATTTTCATGGATTATTCTATCACTCAAAAGGGATATATTTATTGGAGCCCAACAGTAAAGAGATTATTTGTAAGTATGGATGTGAAATTTAGACAATTTAAACCATACTACACCTTAGAGGTGACCTCACCCTTTGGTGACTCGTTAGATGTTGGAGGTATGAGGCGATAGGTGGAGAGTAGTGATGGTGAGAGATTGGTATAAGTGGGAAAGATGCCTTATTTCGTTGTGTGGGAAGGATCAACTGAAGGAGAGCCGAAAAATGAGGACATGAGTCCGAAGGTCGTTGGACTCAAGCTCAAGGGAAGCAGAGGGTGTCTATGAGAAAAAGGCAGAATGAGAGAACAGTGTTTGCCTGTCACTCGTGCCAACAAGTCCCTTGTCACAGTTTACTCTGATTTCTGAGACACCTGCATCATCCACCTCATAATTTGATTACACAAGTGATACAATTCCTCTTTTTTATTCTCCCACTCTCATAACATTAAGGAGGACCTCTCGTAGTAATACAAGCCATCATCTTGATCGTTATTCTCCTAATCATTTTGGTTTTTCACATGGCATTGCCTATGTTATCTCATACTCTAACATATCACATTTACACAGAGCTTTCACTGCATCTTTGGACACTGTCTCTATACCCAACTGTTGGCAGGTAGCTAAGGAGAATTTAAAGTGGCAGTCTGCAATGTTGGAAGAACTTAGTGCTCTCGTTAAGAGCAGTGCATGGCAGCTCGCTTTGCTACCAGCAGGGAAAACGACAAGTGCAAATGAGTCTTCATAGTGAAGCAGTTCTCAGAAGGAATGATTAATCGCTACAAAACACGGTTAGTGGTTAGACGTATGACATCGACTATGATTAAACATTTGCACTAGTGGCAAAGATGAGCACAGTCAGGACACTCATCTCCGTGATTGTGAATGGTGGATGAAGGTACACCAACTGGATATGAAGAATGTGTTTCTTCATGGGAATCTGCTAGAGGAGGTGTACATGGAGATACCCCTTGCTTTGACACGAACCAAATAGTGGGCAAGATATGTAGATTGAGAAAGTCATTGTACGGTTGGAAACAGTCTCCTCGTGTTTAGTTTGACAGGTTCAGAGAAGAAATGGTAGGCGTGGGCTATCAACATATTAATGCCTACCACAAAATGTTCTTTCGACGACATAGTGGTCATGTTACTATTCTTGACGTGTATGTGGAAGATATAATTGTCATTGGGGATGATGAGGAAGAGTTGCTCAGTTGAAGGCAAATTTGGGCAAAGAATTTGAGGTGAAAGTCCTGGGACAACTTAAATACTTCCTTAGGATGGCTCTTGGAGTAGAGGGAATTCTTCTATCTCAGAGGAATGTTGGGATGCAAGTCAGCAGTTTCACCAATTAATCAGAAGGGAAAGTTGAGTGCAGAGGTAGGAGAGCCAGCTGATTACAAGAGGTACCAGAGTTTAGTAGGTCGTCTCATCTATCTGATTCACACTCGTCCCAACATATCATTTGCAGTGAGTGTGGTGATCGAGGCTCTCATGGATGCAGTGTATCAAATTTGGAGGTTTCTAAAGAGTGAGCCAAGGGGCTGATCTTCAGGAAGAATGGATATGTAAAGCATTGAGGGTTATTGTGACTTTGACTGGGCGAGTTGTACGGATGACAAGAGGTCCACATTTGGATCACGCATGTTCGTAGGGGGCAAGTTGGTCTCTTGGAAGAGCAAGAAACAGTTAGCAAGGTCAAGAATAGAGGCAGAGTATAAGGTCATAGCCTTAGGAGTTGTTGAGATGGTGTGGTTGAGAGCCTTGTTGGTAGAGTTGAAGGTGGACCAAAGAGCTCAAATGAAGTTGGGTTGTGAAAAGAAGTCAGCGATCAACATTGCTAACGACCGGATTCTAGATGATAGAACCAAACATATGGAGATAGTTTTTTTATGAAGGAAAAGCTGAATAAAAGACTACTGGAGCTAAGTCTTGTAGCCACTGGAGAGCAAGTGTCTGACAGCCTCACCAAAGGATTTAGCTCATTAGATTTGTCTGGGTTATGTGACAAGATGGGCTTAGTGGATATCCTTTGCTCATCTTGAGGGGTAGTGTTGAGATTTGTATCTAATTTAGTGTCCTATTTGTAAATAGAAGAAGTCTAGGGGTTTATTTGTGAATGTTGTAAGTTTCTTTATAAGCCCAAGCTATTAATGAAATGGGTAACATTTGTTGAGCAATAATTTCTTTTTAAAGGTAGTTATATAAGTGCAGGGGAAGGATTGCACGGCAAAAGTTTAGCAGCTGAGGTTGTTCAATCAAATATAATGCTGTAGTTGTGATTTGTTTGCAGTGAGGAAATGGGCTGCTCCATTTAATGAAATTCTGCAGCAGTAATGCGTAGGTTCATACTCAAGATTCGAAGGTGTCTAGTTCATGTTTCTTTAGGACGCAAATCTTCATATGACTTAACAGGAGGTCTATTCGAATTGATATGCTGCTGTAAAGATGCTTGTACTCTTCGGAATTTAGGCTGTCCCAAGTTCTCTAGTATGATCATTTTTTGCATTTGTGGATGAGTGAAGATTTCGAGAGCTTCGCAAATTGAATATTATTAGCAGAATGTTAGGTCATATGGCGAATTAGGCAGATGAACTGAAATTAACTTGAAACAGTTTAATAGTAGATTAATAGATCATTTTGTTCATATGCATCATGTATTTATAGTAGATGACTACCATGGATCATACGATTCCTCATAACTATGCCATGTTCTTACAAAACTACATATTAATGTCACCCAGTTCGCCTATTGAAGCCAAAAAGTACAAATTACGATTTATCACTTCCGTTCTCTATACAAGAATCCATTTGATATCAATATAGTTCACTTCCGTCTGACTTACACCAAACGAGATGACAACTAAAGGAACACAAGGTCAAATTTCTTCAGGACAATGAACCAAAAATGTTGGCCTTATCATTCCCCAGCAAATCGCTAACCCTTCAATTTTTCATGCACAGAAGAGCATCATACATGCACCGTGTGCTTAGAAAGAACATCCCTGCTGTATTCAATGTGAGCCTGAGCTCTGAAATCTGTGATCATAAGCATGGAAGTATGCTTCAATGAGAAAAGTTGAAAAATGTATTTTCTTTTTCTGCATATTGTCACATGTATGCCATCCTTAATATGCGTTCTAGTCATATGATCCCGGTGCTCTTATCGTTCTTGAGAGCGTGTTCAACTTCAAACTGCCAGTTCCTCTCAATTATCTATTGGAATGGTTTGGGGGAAAGGTTTTGTTTATTCAGGTATGCTAGCTATTTTCTAAAATTGGAATCCAAATATTAAAGCACGATCAACTATGCTTGATTATTTGATTATACTTTTTAATCAGGGGGTGCGAGACCCGCTCTCCAACTCCAAGGAACGGCTCTCCGTGATTCGGAAGTACTGTAGCTTGGCCACTATTAAAGAACTAGATGCAGGTACATTATTTTGAATCTGAAATGGTATATTTCTTTCTGTTCTGTAACCCCTGTAGCAATTCTCATTTCTTATCATCATCAGGTCATCATAGTTATTCCCACTCTTCGGGATAGGCCCTGCGATCCTCCATATCAAATCTCTCTAATTCAGTTTTATGCCATATTTTAGTTCAAACATGTGTTGGTCTATTTTGAACTTCTAGCCGTACTACTTGGGTCTACCTTTGCCTTTACTAATCCTCCAACAAGCCTTAGGGTAGATAAGCTGTTTATCTGAAACGTGGGGGTTCGACCCGTATTTCGCGTTTAATGTAAAAAACCAACTGCATTTTTCGATAAATTGCTCAAACCCAGTTTCCAAATGGTAAGACGGTATTTTCAAAACGCGCGGATAAGTTGCCCCAAACAAAACCTTAATTCCATCGGATTTGAGAGGATGATTTGCTCTTGCAGGTCATTGCCCTCATGACGAGCGTCCAGAGGAGGTTAATCGTTTATTACGAGAATGGATACTAACTGCTGAACTAAGCAACCCGTAGGTGAGGAGAAGCTGATTTTTCTTGTGGGGTAAGTACGTTGTTTCTAAGTTGCTTAAAGATAAATCTGTTTCGAGCACATAAAATTAGTCGGCGTTGCTGCTAAATTCAGTATATCATTTTTTTTTTCTGTCTTGCTAATTCTTAAACAATTTGGGACAAGGTTAGTGACGTTAATGGATACTTGTTTACATTTTTTTTTAGTTAAAAGATATTTTAAATGAAAGAGTTAAGAAAAGGCTATTTTGCCATTTTGCTCTGTCATAAGTTGCTCGTCTTTTAAATTTTTATGGAAAGAATTTCTTTAAAATATTTAATGAATTTTATCAGGGAAATTTGTATCCTTTATAATTTTAAATTTGATCTGTAATTTAGATTAGCTTTAACTTTTCCAATATTCTTAATGTTAAATTTAAAATCAGATAGAATTACATTTTTAATTTATATACAAATATTCATAAATATCTTATTAAAGCCTATTAACCGAATTTTAATGAAAAGATTATTTAAACAACCATCAAAATTAAATCTTTTATCTAGCCAATAACATTGAAAGTGAATACATAAATTATAGAAAAAAAATGTATAAAAATTAAATTGTTATGAAGAAGCAAATATTACAAAATTCATGATTAAAAATGTAAGTGAATGAAGGATTTCTTGGAGTTTAATTTTTATTTTATTTTTTTAAAAATTAAAGTCGGTTTGTTTCAAGTATTTTATTTTATTTATTTATTTAATTTTGAAAATTATGTTTTAATTTCAATTAGCAAGTTTTTTTTTTAAATATTTTTTAATACTTTTATAGGAATTACAAATGTCGTTCAACATGATTTAAATTTTTCAATAATACTATATAAAAGATTATGAAAATTTTTAACTTAATTTAAATTAAAAATTAAATTTAAAATTATAAAATAAAAAATAGAATAAAATTTGTTAATTATTTTAAAGGAAATCTAAAATAGGCAAATTTAATAAACGTTGAATTCTTTTTCAAACTCATTAAGAATATTTTTTTTTTCAATAACTAAATAAATTATTTGGAAATTAAAATCAAAATAGAAATAAAAAGATTATGATAGGTTGTCATTTAGGGTCTGTTTGGGGCAACTGCAGCTTAGCTGCCCTAGAAATTTGCTACGGGGCAGTTGATTGGCTGTTTGTTTCGGGTGTTTGAAAATAACAGTCAAGCAGCTGTTTCTGGACAATTGATCATTATGTCATTCTTTAGTAATATTGTTTATAATAGAACTGTCATTGTCGTATATTTGATACTTCAGAAACAGAAATTCACTACAAAACAATACAAAAATTTAGATGCACGTCTCACTTAACAGCGAGTACCAAGAGTGCAAAAAAAAAACTATTAAAATTATAATTAGTATAATGATTATATTGTTGTTAACATGTAGACGGTGTATGACCCCTACGAATAGAATTATAAAAAATAGGTGTCTCAAATGTCCTCGTGATTATAATAACGTCGTAGATATGTCACCCTTTTATCATAGGGAATCGTGACGAAAAAATCTCTACGAGTAGAATTTTCAAGCAACTTTACCGCAAATAAGTATAGGGGCAAATCCTCTAAAATTTTTTGATTTGCATTCAAGATTTGAACGTTCTGCTCAATGGAATTTTCCTGTGATATATGCGGTTATGCGCTGTTATAAGCTACTAGATTTGATATCTGGTTTTCGAGGAAAGCAACTCCAGCTTTCTTTTTACTCTCCACCCGTTGACGCTCATAACGACAGGTAGACTGGACTTCATTGAGATCCGGACTGGATACTTTGGTTGAATCACCCTATAGGTCGATTGCCAAGTTTTTTTGGGTGTCACAGAACCCTATCTCACTGGGCGCATATGCATATTTTTCTGTAGCAACGACACCCTCAAACATTCGATCCAACTTCTCTAACTCTGGCTCAAGTCCACAAAGTTGAAATTTCTTCGTAGCGGGCACTACCTACAAAATCATAACATACACTTCATTTAGTAAATAAAAATGAAATTGACCGAATTAGATGAAATGGAATATTTCTTATCGCAAATTTTCTGTCTACCACATCTTCGCCTCCGGAGCATCAATGATTCGCTTCACCGGATCCTAACCCAAGCTCCTTGATCCTTGTTTCAATCCCTTCCAAATTTTTCAATCCTTCTTGAGTTGATCTCATTTGTTCTTCAGTTGCTTCCTGTCATACTCTGGCTTGTACTCTCCTTGAACTTTTTGATAATATTCTGCCACAATTTCTTGTTGAAATATGTAGTGGCTTTATTGCCCAAATCAATTTTAATGAGGCAAATGTCATGAAAGATTATTTTTGTTTTCTTATTCCACAGTGCAGTTATTGCAGCCTCTTTGGCCTTGGTCATTTTACTACCATGATAGCAAAAAAACAAACAGACATGAGTAAGAACATTCAAAAAGAAAACAACGCTACATTTCTCTGCCTCATTTCAATCTGATTGTCATAGTGTGTGAGTGAGAAACATACTTCTCTTATCATAACATTGCCCCGGGTGATATCACTAGTAAATTTCAATAGCTTTGAATGGAATTGCGGTCTCATTCTTTCTTTTTCTATACTTCATTTCACTGTGTGTGTGTGTGTGAAATATAATTCTATTCTCATCAAAATGTCATAGGTGGTACCACTAGTAAAATTCAGTGGTTGAGAATGAAAGTATACATATTTGTTGTTGGTAGTGAGTTCACAAAAAAAAGGAAAAACAGTGCTCACATCACTGTCTCATTCTTTCTGCTTCTCTGCATCGTATAGCAGTGTGTGTTAGTGAGAAATATATTTCCATTTCATCAGATTGCCACAAGTAGTATCACTAGTAAATTTTAGTGGCATGAAATGGTATTATGCATATTAACTATTAGTTGTGAGACCATTAGTAAATTTCAATGGCTGGGAATGAAAGTATACATATTTGCAACTAGTTGTAATGCAAACAAAAAAAAGAGAAACATTGCTCACATAACTGTCTCATTTTTTTTTCTACGACTCATGTGTGAGAAATATACTTCTCTTCTCAGCAAAATGTCGTAGGTGATACCACTAGTAAAATTCAGTCATTTGGAATGAAAGTATACATATTTGCTACTTGTTGTGAGATCAAAAAGAAAAAGATAAATAATGCTCAAATTTTATTTTATTTTCTTAAATGTAAAGTCGATTTGTTTCAAGTATTTAATTTTATTTATTTATTTTTAATTTTGAGAATTATTTTTTTTATTTCAGTTAGCAAGTTTTATTTATATATTTCTGAATACTTTTATAGGAATTAAAAATGTGTTCAACATGATTTAAAGTTTTCAATTATAATATTTAAAAGAATATGAAAAATTCAAGTTTATCTAAATTAGAGATTAATTTTAAAATTATAAAATAAAAAAAATTATTAATAAAAATTTGTTAATTATTTTAAAGGAAATCTAAAATTGGTAAATTTAATAAACGTTGATTTTTTTCAAACTCATTAAGAATAATTTTTTTTTATTTTTCATAACTAAGTAAATTATTAGGAAATTAAAATGAAAATAAAAATTAAAAAAAACTATGATGGTTCACCAATTTATGGTCTGTTTGGGGCAGCTGCAGCATAGCTGTCCCAAGAAACTGCTGTCAGGAAACTGGCTGACTGCTTATTTCAGTTGCTTGAAAACAACAGTCTAACAGTTGTTTTTGGACAAATAATCATTTTGTCTCTGTTTAGTAAGATTATTTATAAAAAAACTATCATTGTCATATATTTGATACTTTAGAAGCAGAAATTCGCTACATAACAGTACAAAAATTTAGATACACGACTCATTTAACAGGGAATACCAAGAGTGCCAAAAAAAAGTCAACAACTATTAAAATTACAATTAATATAATGATTTTATTGTTCTTAGCATGCAGATAGGTGTCCTGCGGGTAGAATAATAAAAAATAGGTGTCTCAAATGTCTTGGTGATCATAATAACTTCGTAGATACACCATCCTTTTATTTTGGAGAATCATGATGAAAAAACCTCTGTGGGTAGAATTTTCAAGCAACTCAACCGCATTCAAGATTTGAACGTTCTGCTCAATCAATAGAATTTGCATGTATTGTATGTGGTTCTGCACTGCTAGAAGCTACCATATTTGACATCTTGTTTTGGAGGAAAGCAACTCCACCTTTTTTTTTATAGAACGACGGGTAGATTGGACTTCATTGAGGTCCGTACTAGGTACTTCGATTGAATCACCTGATAGGTCAAGTGTCAATTTTTCTTGGGTGCTATAGAATCTTGTCTCCTGTGCGCGCATGCATATTTGTCTGTAGCAACGACACACCAAACATCTGATTCAACTTCTCCAGCTCTAGCTCAAGTCCATAAAGTTTAAATTTGTTCACAGCGGACACCACCTATAAAATCATACATACACTTCATTTAGTAAATAAAAATGAAATTGAACGAATTAAATAAAATGGAAAACTTCTTATCGCAAGTCTTTCGGTCCACCACTCTACGAAGCATCAATGGTTCGCTTCATCGGATCCCAACCCAAGCTCTTTGATCCTCATTTCAATTTCTTCCAAATTTTTCAATCATTCTTAAATTGATCCCACTTGTTCTTCAATTGCATTCTGTCATACTCTCGGTCTGTACTTTCTTTTAACTTTTTGATAATATTTTGTCACCCTTCCTTGTTGAAATATGTAGTGGGTTTATTGCCCAATTCAATTTCAATGAGGCAAATGTCACAAAAGATTATTTTTGTTTCCTTGTCCCACAATGCAGGTGTTGCAGCCTCTTTAGCTTTAGTCATTTTACTATTATGATAGCAAAAAAACAAACAGACATAAGTAAGAGCATTCAAAAAGAAAACAACGCTACATTTCTCTGCCTCATTTCAATCCGATTGTCACAGTGTGTGAGTGTGTGTGTAAGAGAAATATACTTATCTTATCATAACATTGCCCCAGGTAATATCACTAGTAAACTTCAGTGGCTTTGAATGGAATTACACTGTCTCATTCTTTCTTCTTCTATGTCTCATTACACATTGTGTGTGTTTGTGTGAGAAATATAATTCTCTTCTCATCAAAATGCCACAGGTGGTACCACTAGTAAAAATTCAGTGGCTGAGAATGAAAGTATACAAATTTGCTACTAGTTGTGAGGAAAAATAATAACAATACTCACATTACTGCCTCATTCCTTTTACTTCTCTTCATCATATAACAGTGTGTGTGTGAGTGAGAAATATATTTATATTTTCATCAAATTTCCACAGGTAGTATCACTAGTAAATTTCAATGGCATAGAATGGTATTATGGAAATTTGCTACTAGCTGTGAGACCACTGGTAAATTTCGATGGTTGTGAATGAAAGTATACATATTTGCAACTAGTTGTGTTGCAAAAAAAAAAGAAAAACATTACTCACATAACTGTCTTATTTTTTCTTTTTCTATGACTCATTTTACAGTATGCATGTGTCAGAAATATACTTCTCTTCTCATCAGAATGCCACAGGTGGTACCACTAGTAAAATTGAGTTGTTGGGAATTAAAGTATATGTATTTGCTACTAGTTGTGATGTAAAAAAAAATTAAAAATTAATTATCACATCGCTGCATCATTCTTTCTACTTGTCTTCATCATATAACAGTGTGTGTGTGAAAGAAATATACTTCTATTTTCATCAGATTGCCACAGATAGTATCACTAGTAAATTTCAGTGGCATATAATGGTATTATGCATATTTGCTACTTGTTGTGAGGCCACTAGTAAATTTCAAAAACTGGAAATGAAAGTATAGATATTTGCAATTAGCTGTGATGTCATTAAAAAAAATATTGCTCACATAACTGTCTCATTATTTTTTTCTTATATGACTAATTTCACTGTGTGTGTGTGAGAAATATACTTCTCTTCTTATCAGAATGTCGCAAGTCGTACCACTAGTAAAATTCAGTGGTTGAGAATGAAAGTATACATATTTGTTACTAGCTGTAAGACAAAAAAAAGAAAAAGAAAAAAAAATACTTGCATCACTGCTTCATTCTGTCTACTTCTCTTCATTATATAACAGTGTGTGTGAGAGTGAGAAATATAGTCCTATTTTTATCAGATTGTCATAGGTAGTATATCACTAGTAAATTTTAGTGACATGGAATACTATTGTGCATATTTGCTATTGGCTATGAGATCGCTAGTAAATTTCAATGGTTGAGAATGAAAGTATACATATTTGCAACTAGATGTGATGTAAAAAAAAAAACATTGCTCACCTAACAGTCTCATTCTTTCTTCTTCTTTGACTCATTTTCACTGTGTGTGTGAGAGAAATATACTTCTCTTATTATCAGAAAGACACAGGTGATAACATTAGTAAAATTCAATAGCTATGAATGAAAGTATACATATTTGCTACTAACTGTAAGGACAAAAAAAAGAAAGAAAAAATGCTCACATAACTGTATTATTCTTTCTACTTCTCTTCATCATATAGCAGTGCATGTGTGAAGAAGAAATGTACTTCTATTTTCATCATATTGCCACAGGTAGTATCACTAATAAATTTCAGTTGCATAGAATGGTATTATTCATATTTGCTACTAGTTGTGAGACCACTAATAAATTTCAATGGTTGGGAATGAAAGTATAGGTTGGGAATGAAAGTATTGCAACTAGTTGCGACGCTAAAAAAAAAGAACATTGCTCACATAACTCTCTTTGTTTTTTCTTCTATGACTCGTTTCACAGTGTGTGTGTCTGAAATATATTTATCTTCTCATCAGAATGTCACATGTGGTGCTACTAATAAATTTCAGCGGCATGAAATGATATTATGCATATTTGCTATTAGCTGTGAGGCCAAAAAAAAAATGAAAAAATATGTCTGGCTTCACTGTCTCATTCTCTCTATTTTTCTGCCTCATTTCACAGTATGTGTGTGTGAGAGAAATATGCTTCTCTTCTCATCAGAATACTGTAGATGGCACCACTAGTAAATTTTAGTAGCTTTCAATAAAACTAGACGTATTTGCTACTAGCTGTGAGGCAAAAAATAAAAAATAAAAAATATGGCTCACATCACTGTCTCATTCTTTCTACTTTTCTGCCTCATATCATAGTGTGTGTGTGTGAGAAATATGTTTCTCTTCTCATCAACATGTCACAGATGATACCACTAGTAAATTTCAGTGACTTTAAATGAAATTAGACATTTGCTACTAGCAGTGAGACCCACCAGGGAAAGATCCGCCACACCAAAACCATCACCATATAGAAGCACCAAACCAAAAAAATATTGTTGAATTCACACAGTGCAGAGCAAAAAGAAACGAAAATGTCTCAAAAAATATAGAGGGAGGGGATACCACAATAATGTGAACTCTAGCACGCGTCAATTAGGGCAGAGGAAGAAGAAGCTCCACAGGAAATAGAAAGAGCAGGAAACAAGAATGCAGGGTCGAAAAAAGGGTATTAGCATAAAAATCTTGAGAATAAACGCAGGCTGCGGGTTTGATTTTGCGGCCCGCTGCCGCGCTAAAGCAGCTGCCCCAAACGGGGCCTTAATGGGACTACTTATGATGGGCTACCAGCCCAGCCAATTGACGACTAGCCGCTTCTTAAATTTTTACATCCAAATATGCTTTAGCTAAGCAAAATTAATAAGTTCTCTTTTTAAAATTTGTCCAAATGTGGCCATCCCTTAAGAGGTAATGGTCACATAATCTGATTTGCGCTGCTGTTGCTTCAATTTTTTTTTATGATCAGCTCCAAAATAGTTTCATTACTCCTACAAATTACATGTCTGAACTATTTGTAAGACTCCATGACTGCATTTTTATTCGAGCTCGATGCAGATTTAAATATTTCTCCAATGTGTACGGCAAACCTTGACCAGCATCTATTCAAAAGACTCTGCGCAACCAATCTTCTAAAAAAATAACCTTGGTCGACCAAACGGTCCAAAATGTTTGTGTGGTCTAAATTGATTAAAAATGATCGATCCAAGTGTCATTTTAGTGGATCTCAAGGCTAACACGGCTTACCATTATGCAGGTTTCAGAACCGCACATCTTTTCTGAAGGCCTGGAGCCTGCTCCTGCAGGCCTGATGTGGAGATGTGCACGTACTGCTCCAGCATCTTTCAAAATAATGTAGACTATTGCATTGTATTGTTCTATCCCTGCATTATTGATTATGAATTTGTGGGCCCAGTATCATACTCAGACACTACATTGCCTTGACCAAGTGAGAATTGTATCATTCTCTTTTATTATTATTATTTTTGAAAGACAGTTGATGATGGAGGTGAATTTGCTTTGATTATATGTGCAGGGACAGTAACCTGTACTATTCTGGTGATTGTTTGCTGGGTTTTTGTCCTTATGGATGAGCGGGCACTTTGTACATGTTTCTTCTGTGTTTTATTGATATATTTTTTTATAATGCAATGACACGTGAAGTTGACAGATGAGATGGTGCTTGATGATTGGAGCGTATTTTCTGTCCGGACTCCTGACGTAAGTCTACGTGCGGCGGAGATTAATCCTGAGTTATTTTCATGTTAATTTTTGGTTATTTTCAATAATCCCGAAATAACCCAAAAATAAAGACCGCGGGTTATTTCAGGATTATTGAAAATAACCTGAAAATAACTCAAGAATAACCTAAGGGGCACTTAGAGCTACATCAGGTGTCTGGACAGACAATGCGCTCCTCCACTAGGGATATGAATGATTCATAAAGAAGAAATATTAATCATATACCCATAAAAAGGAATAATACCAAATTAAATGATTTTAGGATGTATTAAAATTAATATCATAAGTTACTACTTAGCATTACTTGCAAGATGAATGAAAAAAAAATAATAATAATAATGAACTTATAGGCACAACATGATATTATCACGAAAAAGCTTGATTACTTTTAGCTTTCTATTCTTTTGAAAATTTGAATTGTCATGTCTTTAGGTCCAATACAAAAAAAAAAAAAAATAGGAGCCTATTTGCAATGATTTTTGCTTTCTATCATTAATTTTATTTATATTTTCATTTGAAATAAAATATATCTGACGTTTTTGTGAAATAAATGAATTAACAAAAATAAGAAAAATATGAAACAAACATGTGTTTTAAAATTAAATAAAAAATAATTTCAAAGTTTTCTTAGGGAATATCGACGATTGGGGGTTAATTGGTCATTTAATAAAAAAAAAATATTAGATTTTCATTCTAAACTATTTTGTGATTCTTCATACTTGAACACTCTACATTGTATGCCTCAACCTAAATTTCATACATATCAACACAATTTCGATGTATTTTGGGGATATAAAATATAAGATCTTAATCAAATGCATCACACAACAAAGAGAGCTATTAATAATATAATCAAAGATGCATTAAAATTATTCATCTTAGTAACAAAAGTACTATATATAATCAAATTATCTAAAATATTTTACGTTTTGATTGTTGAACTCGGTCTGTGATTTCATGTGAAGAACTTTCTATTTTGCAAATTGTTAAAAAGTATTATTAATTGGAGTCAACATGTGCATTTATATATGAGAATGGATCATTTTATTCATTGAATGCATGCCATTATACCAAGTCATCACTTTGCTAGGTACTATAGTGAGCAAGCCTTGAGATTCTTAACCAATACAAACTCGAACGTTCATCCTAGGCATTGGTTACTACTTGTAAGGAAGGAAATGATCTCTAAACCCCCCAAATTTTTCACTAGAAGTGTACTAAATTAGTTAAAAATTTACATTAATCTATGAATCAAGAGATTGGTTATTTCGCATCACATTCACTTGTAAGCATAACATAACAATAGAAAGTAGTAGTTCAGGCTATAAGCTACCTTTATCCTATATTTTGAGTCAAGCGAATGATTTTGAAACTTACCTTTATTCTATTAGAGCTTGAACAATGCTCGTTACAAACATAAAGTCAAGTCATTTCTCCCATATATGAACTTAACATTAAACTATAAAGCATAAGAGAACTCTATTTTCTCGTCTCTTAATCCTTAAGTCTCTTATTGAACTCAAGATTATCTTCTTAAACTTTTTCTTCTGATTAGATAAGGCCATTAAATAATACTTAATCATCAAGGTGTCTAATTAAGCTTCAAAAACTAATTTTGATCGTTAGAGCCTTGATTATTGAAGCCAGACAAATCTAGAAATATGTAAAATAGGCACATTTGAGTAAGACATCTGCTAACATGATCTAAAAGCTTTTTATTAAACCCAAGTTTCTACTTCTTCCATGTAGATTGTGGAAATAAACTCTTAACTGTATCTTTGTATTTGAAGCATAACTTAGGATGAATTTTTAGTGCGGTACACAATTTTTATTCTCTAATTGGGTCATTCTACCATGTTTAAAGCTCGAAATTGCCTAGCAATCATGCTGCAGAAGTAAACCAACAATTACTTCATGGTCAAGATGGATTACAGTTTCCACTCTATCTCGCCACACAACATTCTGGAAACCTAAAATCAGAGATTCATTCAAGTGATCGACCTCCCATATCAATTGGAGAATTCTGTTAATATTTATTGTTACACATATTACAGTCGGATAAAAAAGATATTGTTGCCCACAATCAATAAAGGAAACATATAATATAAACAATTGCCATGGACCAATGAAGCATCTCTAGTTCTGGAAAAATTATTGCATGCATATACCGCATGCAGAGATGCGTGCGGTGTCCGATCCTAACCGTAGATCACGGTGATCTATGGCCAGGATGTATTTCGGTGGACCCCACTTCAATTTTTTTTTTCAAAAAAATTTTGATTACATCGTGACCGTAGATCGGACACCGCATGCATCTCTGCATGAGGTGCATGCATGCAAGCAGAATTCTTCAGTTTATAACACCTCGTTCTTCAAATATATAGCAAGGCAGGCAGCAAAGCAATTCCAACGATTTCACAGATTAAAATTAATCATAATTACACCAATCAACCTTTAACCTAATATCAATCACACCCGCGCCTGAAATGAACCCCCTTGCAGGATCCGTTAACCCTAGAACGATCCAGATCTGAGCCGACGCTAGAGCTCACCAAAACACAGATACATGTGAAAGTAAAGCTGAAAAAAAGAGAGATTTTTCCACACACATACCAGCCATATCCTCCCAGCAAACAGACACCTTTAACCAGATGATCCATCAATGTTAAATGCACAGAAAATTCCGAGCAGCTCTAGATTTAACTATCAGAACTTGATTCACAGCAGAGCGAGATCAATTAGAAATCATACGCCGAAGGCCGGCAAGGCCTCTTGTTACTCCCAGGTACGCTGGGCAACTGAGGCACGGCGAACACGTCCTCAGAACTCCATTTCTCTCTGCTCGCTTCCTTGTTCGAAGCCTCCTCCACAACGTCGAAAACGCCGGCGCCGGAGATAGCCCGCGACGGGGGCGCTTACCGGATGAAACTGATAAAGTGGTGCCTCGGGAACAAAGAAATTCCAGTCCGCCGCCGATGCTACTCCGATATTTCCAGCGTCAACATCTCCCTCCACTACTGGCGCCAACGCATCACTCTGCATCATACAATAGCAGCAGGTAATACTTCAAAACTTCATAATGTAAAAACTAAAAACGCAAGAAACAATAAAAACAACGGAAATTTACATGCATAGCCTCTAATTCTTATGCATTTACTAAACACGCAAAAAACTAAAAACGCAAGAAACTAAAGTTTAGATTTTTACAAAGCCAGCATCCTATCTATGGATGAAAAATGTGAATTTCACTGTTACAGACTGTGGGAAAGGATAAAAATGACAGTTTTAGTGTGAGATAGTTAAATCCATAAGAATTAGGTGCCGATAAATTATACTAGTGTTTTTCAACTGTGTTAACTGAATTTTTTACCGAATGAATCATTACTCAGAATAAATTGTCAAGAAAGTTCCATTATTTCAATCACAAGTTCAGAAACACATTTGATAAATTAACAAGATAAATAAAAGATGCAATCCACAATTGCATCTGTCCCTCCCTATATATTCTGTGTGCTCTAGTTTGATTTCAGGACTTCGTTATTACGTAAATCTAACGCAACGACTCCAAACCTGATAGAAGACATCACCAGCGGTGTAACTGACGGAATCATCTAGCAGAAAATCCTCAACAAGATACCCAGGAAGCATTTTAGTCAGGTACTCGGAGATGCTGCTGCTACCCTCAGCCATGGGCGACGACAGACACCTAGAGACTTTCTTTTGAGAGATGCTTTGCTCATAGAAGACATCACCAGCGGGGTAACTGACGGATTCATCTAGCAGAAATTCCTCAACAAGATACGCAGGAAGCATTTTTATCAGGTACTCGGAGATGCTGCTGCTGCTGCCCTCAGCCATGGGCGACGACAAACACCTAGAGACTTTCTTTTGAGAGATGCTTTGCTCCGACAAAGGCGAGGAGACTGTACTAGTTACAGAAGAGAGCCGAGTACCGGTGAGGATGAAGCGGCTGTGCTTCATTGTAAGACCGTTTGAGGTATGAATGGAAGAGTCGCATTCATGGAAGAGTATGGCTCTGTCATCCTTGCAGAACACAAAACCCCGTCTTTCCTATCACAGCAATCATAAATAAATCAAAACTGTTCCTTCGACCCACAAACAATCTAAAGCCGTTTAATTGGTCGCTTGCTGGTTTAAAAAGAAAGGTTTCGCAAACCTGGCAGGTGTCGCAGAGAGGGTGCGGCTGAGCGGAGAGGAGGGAGAAGCGGGGATGCTTGCCGGCAAGCTTGTTGGCGCTGTGTACCCGGAGGTCGCAGCCGTAGCAGAGGGCAGCTTCGTCGGCGCAGCACAGCACGGTGGCCTCCCCGGCGCAGCAGACATCGCAGAGTATCTTCATCTCTCCGCGCCCCCTCTCCGTTATGCATAATCTTAGTCTAAAGGAGCTGATTTTAAGTGAAGGAAGATGACAGGGGATAAACATGCTGGTGACTTGGGGGGCATTTTTTTTAGCGTACGGTCAATGTTAGAATATAGTTAGTGGCAGCTGAATAATGTATCGATGGCTTGCCATTGGACCGAATGAAGATGGACGCTGGAAGCGAGGATTCGTGATACTTCAAATCGATTTTATAATATCTGGAAAGCGTGCAATTGGCCCGCGTGGAGATGGGTGCTGGAAACGAGAATTTTTTATATCCTGGGAAAAATTGGGTTACAAATCTCACTAATTAAGCTATGTTTAACAATAATCTTTCTAAAGTCCTGCGCTTTGGTTGGTTTGCTTGCTGTGAAAAAGGAGGATGCAGTTTAGTTGTAAACTTTGCAATATGAAATTCAGCATGGCCATGGCTGGTTTGGTGTTTCCACCAGATCACGTTTCTTCTTTATTTGTTTGCACCCCAGAGTTCAAATGTTGGAACTCATTTCTATTTGGGAGTTATAAATATAAATGTTCTGAGAAAGATTCATGTAGATATAGAGATATATACAAAAAGTGAATTCTGTGCTCCAATGTGAAATAAAGAATATTTGAGATGCGCGCCTTTATGCTCTATTGACTCCTTATTCGTGCCTTTATGCTCTATTGAGTCCTTATTCGTGCCTTTATGCTCTATTGATTCCTTATTTATATGTTTATAGGGTCATATAAATGAAGTAAATCAATAAAGATATCTTCTTGATACATCTCAAATCTTTATCGTTCGGCATGAATGTTGAGGCTTAACATAGATCTCGAGACGAATTTTTAAGCAAGATATTCAAATCTTGCTAAAAACTCATCTAAAATTCCGATTTCAACAAACTTATAGTCAAACTGATCGACTCTACAAGAAGAATACAATGTTACCAAGATTGCTCAATTCCGGCATTGTTAAGGCACCCAAATGTCCATCAAATAACGTTTGATTGAAGGAAGTTATCCGGCCGTCTGATCATTAATTGCATCCATAACACTATATATAGAGTCGGACCCCTCTCATGAGAGGGCGCTTAAGGTTTGAGAGAGAATTTAAAGCTTTGAAAAGCAGTTGAAGTTCAGCACCGCCCTTTTCACCGTCGATCGCCATTGGCCATTATCGAGCATCGATGATCGTCGTCGACTGTCATTGACATTTGTCGACTGTCGTCAATCGCCACCAACTGTCATCTACCACTGTCGAGCTCCGTCAAAAACCACCGACCGCCGACAAGCACTGACTGTCGTCGATCACCAACTACTATTGACATCAACCACCACCGACCGTTATCAACCACCGTCAACCGTCTTCGATCACCACTAATCATCATCAACAACCACCGACCATAAGTCGCCAACCGACATGCAACTTGAAAAACCTAGCAACTCTTTCTCGCATGTGGTACACAAGGTCTCTGTAATCAACTTATAGTGGATTTTTACAACTGGATCAGGCCCCGTGGTTTTTCCCCTTTACGAGTTTTCCACGTAAAAACTTCTGATGTTATCACAGCTTGTTTTTTAGTATGTGTTGAATTCTAGTGTAACGCTAAGACAATAATCCGTTACTCTACCACCATGAATTTTCTAGGGTGTATCATTTTGGTGTCGTTTGTGGGAAATAGAACATTCATATCGCTAAAATGCTTATAAAAATTATTGCATGGTCACCAGGTGCAACACTTGCAACAACAGAGCATTCCGCTCCAACATCCATCATTCCAGAAGATAGTCGTCAAGGTCTTCAAGCCTTTACACCTCACTAACAAAGGTGTCTTGGGTCATTCTTTGGAAGATCGAGTACGTAGGATGGAAGAGTCTCAATATGAGATCCTTCATCTCCTACGCCAGGAGTGATAGCTGCAACCTAATGAAACTTACTTACCACCAGTTCGGACTTCAACAGAAAATACCTCAGTCGTTTCTCTTCTAATAATGAAATCATTCCCCTATTTAGATGAAACACCGATCTTCTCAACATTACAAGTTCTACTCATCTTTCTCATGCAGCTCACTTGGCACTGCCCCGCCTTACTGTTGCTTCTGATGATATCATCTGAGATGAGCTACGACGTCTGGTTCGGAATAAGTTTCCTCTAGATAAAATGGATTTCTTCCCTGCTCACTGCCTAAGAATCCTCTACTTTGGCTGACGCGGCTCTCTGACACCCTATCCCAGCAGGTTTTAAACTCCTAAACATTGATGCGTATGAAGGGACAGCTAACCCATGTGAGCACGTCAACCACTATCGAACCATCATGCACCATGTTTCTAATGTGCTTCTCTGTCAAGTGTTCGTGGCGACTCTTAAGGGTCAAGCTCGCATATGGATCTACTCTCTCCCAGGAGGACACCATTAACACATTTAATGAGCTTGTCAGATTATTCATAGAGCAGTTCATAGAAAATAGAAGGATTATCAAAGTTCATCGCACTTATCAGAAGTTCACCAAAATGAGAGGGAATCCCTCAAGGAATACTTCTGTAGGTTCTTCATTGAAGCACGCCAGATTCCTGTAATGGATCCGGAGTTACTGAGAGGAGTCTTTTGTAGAAGGTTGTGCCCACAACTATTCTATACATCACTTATGTGGGAGATAGTGCACCCTTACACTGAACTCATCCATTGATTCGAAGTTCAAATCTGTGTAGATGATGTCATTACTGCACACAAGGAACAATTTGTATGATTGAGGGGAAAGCACAACAATAACACCAGGGATACCAATCAAATCTCACAGTGAAAAACGTTTGGATCACAGGGGAATTGTGAGCCACGATCAGAAAAAGAATACACGTTACTCAACACATCACGTGCAACATTCCAATGTCCATCAATGATGAAGAGACCATCAAGTGGCCAAGGTCGTGAAGAAATCAATATGGTGGAGACCAGTCTCAATATTGTCATTTCTAACATGCAGAAGGACATTCGACAAAAATATGTTTTCAACTAAAGGAAAAAATTAAACGTCTAATAAGCCAAGGTCACCTGGGCCGCTACTTACATGAACAAGGTGACCAGAAGAGAATTGTCAGAGTTATCGAATTAAAAGTACAACTCCAAATTATCTTATTTGAGTAAAAAATTGGCTTATAAACTCCTAATTTTATTTTTATGTTGCTTTAAACTATCATTTCAGTGAAATTTTCATAGTTTCTCATAAAAGATTTTTGTGTAGAAAGATTTTTTGAGGGCAAGCAGTAGATAAGGTCCTCATCCATGGCCCTGGAAGTTGATTCTAAGAGTCAAGACTCAACGGGAAGTGACGGTACTCCTGAAAGTCAAGCTCAAGAGGTAAGATTGGATGAGAAGCTACCATGCCTCTGGAAGTCAAACCCAAGTGGCTGCTAACCTCATTTTGGTGATGTCTAATTCTTCTCTTAGAACTTATATCTGGTCATAGGACTTCCCTATTTATTATGCTAGAAAACTAGTGATGTGACCCACCCTACTAGAAATTCTAGCCACTTCTAGGCTCTTTTGTGAAGTCTCGTGTGGGTGGCATCAAATCCTCAATACTTGATTGAGTTGACTGGAACCAACATTTTGAAACTAAAAAATGAGTTCTCATAGAATCACAAGGCCTTAGGGAAGCCCTTTATGACTTGGTCACACATTCACTCACCACAATTAACTCACTCCACCACCCATACCCTACGCTACACATCACCTTACACCACATTCACTCCATCACACAAATCCCCCACACCACATTCACTTCACCCAAATTCCACCAAAGTCCAAACTCAATACAAAGTCTACCAAATTTCAAATCCAAATCCAAACCATCCAATTTCAAGTCCATGTTCAAATTCAAACCTAATCAACACCCCAATCCAAAATTCAATAAATTTGTGCACACATGCCAAATACAACTTCACTAAGCCCAAGTCATAAATTTCATCATGAAAGATTCAAGACTTCATGAAGTCATCATGATTAATTTTGAATACCACTAAAACAAAAATCTAAGCCCATCATCATAGTCAAAAATCCACACCTTCATACAAAGACTAAGGCCCACTAAACTAAGCCCAATTTTCAATTGCTTTTAAAATTAAAAGCTCACTCCACCATATCATAAGACACCTCATCCAATAATTTAAAAAATAAAACCATAGATCATGCAGTCATAGATAATTTCTGCCACATTTGACTTCATGATAAGGCCACATAAAATGCCCAAAATTCCTGAATTCCTTCTCCATAAAAAATGCTCAAGCCACATGCAAGCCACCAAGCCATGCTAAAACTTCAAGTCAAAGCTCACATGACATAAAATAATAATAATAATGATCATTATTATTATTATTATTATTATTATTAGCTTTGACTTGAAGTTTTAGCATGGCTTGGTGGCTTGCATGTGGCTTGAGCATTAAAGAAAAAATAAGTTTTAAAATAATATAAAAAAAGAAAAGGGCTCACAGTTTTAAAAACAAAAAAAAATTATTTATTTATTTTATTTTCACTCATTTGAATGACGTCTCTCCTTTTTTTCTTTTTTTTTCTTCTCCTCACTTTCTCCCTCTTTCTCCTAGACTATTCTTTCCTACTCGTGAGCCTCATCCTCCCTCTCCCATTTTTACTTTTTGTCTCTTCTCCACAACTCCCAACAGCTTTTCTACATTCACTCCACTATATCCTTGTCCTCCCATTCCAACTATGAAGCACTTTAAGCTCTCACACTCTCTATTCTTCTCCAAGCTGTGAGCCCTCATCCACTCTCCCGAAACCCTAATTTTCATCGAGACTGTCAGACGAAAGATTTTTTTATTTAGAAGTTATGGGAGACTCCATGTGAGTGTCATAAATTCAAAATGGAGTATTTTAGTTGGTTATTTACTAAAGAAATTTGTGCCAACGGTCGTACTAAACTACAGCGCTGGTAGGGTGTCCTGAACCCTAATTTTCCCGTAGCGCACATAGGTAGACTCTGTGACTTGTTATGGTCTTAGGAGGTTTCAGACGGATGATTGGTGACTTCTAATCATTATATTAGGCACCAATCATGTCTCACATACCAGATGGGCCTCCCTGAGGGATTTTTCTTTGGTACAGCGGATTCACCACCAAACCTAGCTACTTGCTCCGAACAAGTGTTAGATGGTCCTGGGTGGATGTCTTAAGCTACCAAAAGCTATGGATGAATCGTATATCATCTTGAGCTATGCAGGGGAAAACCTTGCACTAGTGACATCAAAAAGTGATGCCAACACTCTGGACAACCATCTATGTTCAAATCTTTGTTGGGTCAATCGGGTTGGAGAAGCATGAAAGCTTCTCCCTAGGACATGAAAATATGATCCAGTTATCTAGAGAGATTCTTAGATTTTGTGGAGGCCTTATTAAAATGTCTTGGGTGAAATCTTTGTTATCCAACCCCGTTTTAAAAATGGCCTGAGGGCCATGCAAGAAAGCAAATGCAAGTTTTGAAAATCCTAAATTTTAATTTATCTTGAATCTTTTATTATGATTTTTATGTAAAATAATTTACAATTTTAATGTCTTAGAGAGCCTAAATTGTAATTTTTATGGTATCTCGGATCCAGAAAGAAACAGAAAAAACAGTTTA